AATTATGTCTCTGAGGGGCACTTCTTATGAGACACATATGCGCGCGGCTGCGAAGCGTCGGCTCGTTCGCTGCTCACCTCTGACCGCGACTGACTAAGAAGGGAAGGAAAACTCACAGGAGCGAGTAACTGAACGAATTTCACACCCATTGCTACAATTGCGACTTGAATGAGAAGAAACAGTGTGCCATAAATTCGATAGTTATTATACAGTGGTCCCAGTGCTAAAATATGAAGGATTACTTCAGTAAAACTTGGTATTTGAACGACAAGTATGGCTGTTCAATTGCTATAATTAAATATAATCTGATAATTATTCATTCACTTGTTCAAGCTATTTAAAGATTTCACGAAATTTTGAAAAGTACAATCGCAAAAAAAGATAAAAAGTACCAGCGAAAAATGAAATTACGTAAAGGAACTTCGAACAAAGTCAAGGAGAATTCTATTTCACTGAAAAATTCGCTTACGATCGGTATCGTGGAGAGCTTCTCGACCTCCAATAGCCATATCAGGAACGATGTACATCTGAAAAAATATGTGAGAATTCCGGCATTAAAGGCACATTCCGCGCTGGTCATATGGGCGGAGCCAGGCCTACGGCTTGTTTTCTTAACTATTCCCTTGCAATTATATGACAAAGAGGAGTAACCCGCATACTAGTTGACACAAACGCACCACACAGATAGTTGACTGTCCCGCCCACCCTACCAGCGTGGAATATGCGTCTACGATAATCTGTCATTAGACAGTTCAACTCTGGATGTCCTCCTTGTCACATCTTATCATCATTTTTCTGCTTTCTTCCAGAGACTAATCGGTAGTATTTCTGTACCCCCATATCATAGAGATTGGGAGGGCGTGGCCGCGTAAATCACTTCAACGTAGCTGCGGCTGCGCTTCTGATAGGTTCTTTTCGTTTTGGGACAATTTTAATCATGTCTTCGTCTGTCGTCTGGCACAATACAAGATTGCAGTTGGCCTGAACTGAACCCTCGAGCATTCTACGCCATGTTTGAATGAAGTTGAAGCCACGCCCACTCAATTTCTGAGACATTAGGTGTGGAGGGATATTGACCGGCGCAGGGGTGGGACTACCGTAAATGGTGTCACTACCAGGCCGGTGGTCTCATATCGACTTCGACTGCATTAATCGTGATGGCTCGGCTATGCGGAACAGATAACGCTTATAGGCTTAAGGACTACCTGCACATCGACTGCTTCCCCCCTCCCGATCTCGCCCTCCGGGCCATGGTAAACAGACAGCTCTGTCAGCGTTGTGACAAGCAGTTATGACAGGAGGGGGCTGCTGGCCAAGAGAAGATGGCAATGTTCCCGGTCCCACCCATCGCGCCATCAGCCAGTTTGCACATCGAGAGTTGCCGCTTTATGTGCCGCGCGCGACGGCGCGAGAAACCACGATTGTCTTGTCCGTCTTCCAGAGAAATAGGGGTGTCTCAGTAGTACAGGTCGCGATGCAGCTTCGGTGTTCCATTGTTGAAGCTGATAACTCTTCTGAATCGTAGAGGATACAGACGTATTCAGAGCCATGGCGGTTTTCAGTGCACTAGAAACGCATGGCGCTCATCGCAGAGGTACTTACGTTAGCATCGCTGAGAAACTTATTCCGGTCCCTATAAGTGTCACGGACACTTATAAGAGGCAATTATCCTGATCGGGCAGCACTATAGCTCATTCTAACTCACCAGAAGTACTTCAACACCTCCGACGATGTACATTGACGCCGCAACAGTATTAGCCAGGTAGAATAGTATGCCGACAGCTGAACCGAATTCCGCTCCCAAATTTCGGCTGCAATGAGTAAGTAAATAGCTATCAATAAGCAAGCAAATGAACCACTGATGAAACAAATGAAGTAGTAAAATATAGTTAATAAGGTAAATAAGGGACCTCAAGTATCAGTTTTTTATAGGCGATCTTTTTTTATTTCATGAAAACTCTCACATCAGGAGATTCCTCTAAAAGTGGAATGGGCGGAGGCTGCACGTACGGGAATGTGTCAACCAATATTGCTCTCAGCTGGCGAGTCGCAGGGGTATTATTCACTGAGGCATGCTTCCCAAGTCCAGTAGTTGAAGGGAGAAGGTAAAGGAGGAGGGATCAGAGAAGGAAGGAAGGAAAAGAAGGAGGGAGGAAGAAAAAAGGAAAGAGAGGAGAGGCTTCTCGGTTGACAAGTGCCCTGAGACGAAAAGCTGTCATTTGTTCTCCTGTGCGTTGCTACAGTCCTCGTCAACACTGTGAGTGAGAAAGGCACTATATCAGTGTAGAAGCAAAAATGACTACCACTGGTCCCCGCCCAATATCTCTTCGCCGGTTCTAAGTCATCGTGAAGTGCGTCCTTAAACGGTTCATAGAGAAATGCTTTGCATGTAGAGCGTTCAAGTTCAAATGCAGACCCGCGCTCAACAATTCGTAGACTTCCGTGCCCAACCAAGTATGTTATGCAGTACATAATCGCAGGAATTGTCCCACTTTATGCAGCAAAAGGAATTCCACGAATTGGTGAGCGCGAGGCCTGTCATGAAGCCATGTTTTTGTTATTTTGCGCTTGTTTTCGGTTGATTCTCTCCATTCGCGGGCCGCATCACGTACAGTTCAGCGACATTATCCTCCCTCATGAGGCTGGTACCATTTGCTCTACCCGAGAGGGTTGAACGCTTGCTGGCCTGAGCGAGATTCGATCGAGGTTTTGTACCTTCGATCACGCGTAGTAGGAGAGCAGGCCGTTAAACTTTGTCTAATAGACGTCAATGGGTCTTATAAGGAAGTTCTAGTCTAGGCCAGAATAGGGTACAAAAGGGGCTGATAGTCCAAAAAGGAAAATAAACATCATTAGTAAGTGGTGGTTTGAGTAACAGTGAATAGTCAAAGGACGAATGAGTGAAAGGACGAATGCCTGACCATCACAAACGAGCTCGCCCCGTTTGCTGACCTGTG